TTCCGCTCCAGACATCATCTTCTTCCAAGAGCTCTCTGGACGGTGGGGTCCTTCGCCTTAGAAGGAGAGCTCCACTGGGCTCCCCATTCTGCCTTAGCCCAGCATTCTGTGAGGGTTCCTGCAATTCAGAAAGAATCCCCAGTGCACAGCCATAACTGTAAGAAAATATCAAGTCTGGGGAGACCCACTTTGGGGCAGCATTTGCTGTGCTGGAGGTGTAGGTGGTAGAGGAAGGAGAGAATTAAAGCACAAACAAGGAAGCGGGGCTCCTTTTCATCAGAGCCCAGACTAGGTGCGGAGAGGCTGAAATGAAAGGTTTCAAGGGTAAAGGACAGCAGCTGAGGGAGCATCCCTTGGGTGGCTCAATATTAAGTCTTTGTGAAACACAAAGGGGCTGTGATAAAATCAGGGACTTGGAGAGAGCAGGAGAGACTTAGGAGAAGTGCTCTGTGAAATCTGATGTGTCAAGGAGGGACAAATGAGGTCTGGCCTGTGTGGCTCAGTTGGTTGGGCATCATACTGTGCACCAAAAAGTTGCCGGTTTGATTCCTGGTCGGGGCACATGTCCGGGTTGTGGACTCGATCCCTGGTAGGGGGCATCAGTGTTTTTCTCTCTCTGCCCCTCTCCCTTCCTCTCTCTCTAAAAAAACAAATCAATAAAATATTTTAAAAACTATATATATGAATGATAAATGAAAAGATTGTGGAGAATCAGGGGGAAACATAGCTTAGGGCAGATATCTTGAGATTACAATAGACTCAATTAGCAATTTATGAATTTTTAGAGCAACTCAACATCCTGGAAGTAGAAGTTGAAGGCTCGTTCGGTGGAGGTCCTCTTTAGCTATGGAAATGAGAAAAACCTGCAGCAGTTCCAGATGGTAAGACATTTCAGAATGGGAGTGAGTTCCCTGTGGATATGGCTAGGAGCAGATAAGGGTTTGTGGACCAGGAGACTGCAAAAGGTTGAGGGGGTTCTTCCTTAAGAACAGAGGGAAGTTGCTTGCACCTTGTGTATAAGAGCTGGAAGGTCATGTGATTGTGGTCAGAAAGGAGCAGCTTCATAAATGGAGACCTGGGTGTGGTTGTAATGAGGGTTAAATCTAGAGTGTGTCTACACTGGTGGATAGATAATAAGGGATGATGGGAAAGCTACTAGAATAAATCTGGGCAAAGGAACTGTAATTAAGTGGTGATTTTGAATCTGAGAGGATGCTGGGAATAAAATGGGTAGAAAAGAAACAACACAAGGCAGGTACTACTAGCGTGGGGATATATAGGGTGGGGCAGAAGTAAGTTTACAGTTGTGAGTATGGGAAACACAGAGTTTACTCTTGCATTGTTACTTATAAATTACAACCTACTTTTGCCCCACCCTGTGTATTAAGGGTATTCTGCACCAAGGAACTAAAATGGGTAATGAATAACAGAGTAACAGAAGAAATAATAACAGAGCAGAGAACTAGTTCCTGAAATACAGCGATGCCCCAGAAGTGGTCATGGGGTGTGAGAAGTATTGGCACTTTTCCCTCCTGGTCCTGTGGTTAGAGGGTGTCGTCCTGACTATAGGGATTGTGAGAAATGTCAGGTTGCAGTTAATGTGAACAGGTAAAAGAATGGGGGAGAGAATGATTTGAGGATGTAGGAAAGTTTGTCCTTAACAGCATTAAAGTTCCAAAAAGATCTGTGAAAGCGTTTTGGATAATAGTTCTGAATCTTGGTTGCACAATGGAATTATCCAGGAAGTGCAGAAAACAAAAATACTGTACGAACAAAAACCAATACCCAGGCCAATTAGATCAGAACTTTTGGGTTGGGATCCCAGAGCAAATCTTTTTTAAAGCTCCCCACCTGGCTCCTATGTGTGTGGGATAGAGAACTACAGATTTAGGAAGAGCATAAGTGAGAAGTGGAGCTGGGAGCGGGCTAAAGAAGGAGGAGGTATTTGCAAAAGACAGTGTTTATGGATCGCAGACAATAGAGAAGTAGGGATATGGTAGAGAGACTGGTAGGGAACCCTGGCAGGCAGGGTGCCAAAAAGGCAGAACTGAGGTAATGAAGGGCCTTTTTCTGAGTTTATCGGCCCCCGGTTTCCAATTCCAGTTTGGTTGTGGCTGAACAAATTGTCTCCTTGTTAAGTTACTCAACTTAGACCGCTCACCTGTAACTAGGATTTTGGCATTTCTGCACTATTCAAAGGCCATGAGGTATAAGACGCCTTATCCATTATTCATGTTTGTTTCAGGCTAAGTGCTAGATCCCCAGATGCTGAGAATTTGTAGATGTCTACTTGGAAAGCACTGACCACAACACAAACTGCTCTTGGGTTGTTTTCACGGCTTAAACCTGTGCATCAGTCTTTCTTGGTGTTGACCACTAATTAAAATAATCAAAATTATTTGTAGAACTATTATTTTGTTTGCATGGATTTGTGTGTGTCTGTTGGGAAGAAAGGTCAAGAGTGCCTGAGTGTAAGAACTATGTGTGTGAATACAAAATACATCTATCAAATAGTTCAAGTATGATGTAGATCTTCTGCAACGATTTTTCTTGGAATCATTAAAAACATTCACCTTAATCAGATCCCATGACTCCTCTACAAATGCACTTTTCCCTAAGAAGAATTTAAGCCTAGGATGATTTCTATCCTGACAGAGCCTTAGAAGTATCACATTTGCAAAGAATATAAAAGAAATAACCTGAGGCTTTACACTTGAGCTGTGTGTTCACATCATTTATTCAACATCAGAAACTCCTACAGGCTCAACCATCAAAAATATATCCAGTGACTGACTGTCTCATTCTCTTCATGGACCCAACCCGCCACACTCAGTCTTCATGACCCAGAAATACTCTCTGGATAGAAACACCAGAAGGAAATACCCTGATTTTTCAGAAAAATTGCTTTACTTGACACATTTTTCTTCCACTTCTCGTCTTCCTTCTCCGGGTGCTCATCCTTCAGAAGCTCCTTTGAAGGCTTCCATTCATCCTCCCTTGCAAAGCCAGGGCTCCCCTTTGGTCCCTACGATCTAGGGCAGGCATGTCAAACTCGAGGCCTGTGGGCTGCTTGCCTCGTTTAAACAAGGAAGTGGCCCTTTGAGAAACCCACTTTAGGATTGGAGAGTCCAGAGTGCAGCCAGAGGCCTGGGAGTGAGGCTTGGACTCTACACTCAATAGCTGTGTGACCTAGAGCGACTTACTTAACCTTTCTGTGCCTTGGATTACACTTTTTAAAAATGGGATAATGAGCCCTAACCGGTTTGGCTCAGTGGATAGAGCGGCAGCCTGGGGACTGAAGGGTCCCAGGTTTGATTCCGGTCAAGGGCATGTACCTTGGTTGTGGGCACATCCCCAGTAGGGGGTGTGCAGGAGGCAGCTGATTGAGGTTTCTCTCTCATCGATGTTTCTAACTCTCTATCCCTCTCCCTTGCTCTGTAAAAACTCAATAAGATATATTTTTAAAAATAAAAATGGGATAATGCTATCTTATAGGGCTGTTGTGAAGATTACGTGGGTTAATAAAAAATATTTAGAAACTTGTCCAACACATAGCAAGTTCTCAGTTAATGTTTATTATTTTTATTATTTTCTCCCTCTACTCTCCCTTGATATTACCTTTTATCACCATGAATGACAACTATCAATATACAATTGGTTCCTGAGTCTCTATCTCAGGATTTACTCTGTTCAGAGAGCCACACCCATATTTCTATGCCGTGGGCATTTTTGTCCTGGTATCTAATTCCTATCTTGAACTCAATACCCTCAAAGCAAAGGCACCATATCACACCCTGAGCTGCTACTGATCACCTGGGTTTGCTACTGTGACTTGAGGCAGGCTTGCTCCATGCATTCAGTGTTCGTTAGCAGGTCCTGCAAGAGCTACTTGGACAGGACCTTCCACACCTATCCTCTTCTTCACATGCCTCTGTCATCACCCCAGGTCTTACATGCTTTTCTTCTTAACTTGACTCTGTCTTTCCACTGACATCAGACTAAGATTTAACATCTATTTCCAATCATGTCTTCCTTCTGTTTACATTTCTCCAGTGAATCCCGTTAACTCAAGAAACTGAATCTCAACTCCTCTAGCTGGCAGTCAAGGTTCACCCAATACAACTCCCATCTGTCATTCTACTATGCACCAATTGAGTCTGTATTCAGTGTCCCCTTCGTTTCTTCATGCTGTCGCCTTCACCTTATAGTTTTTCCCCCCATTTTTACTGGTCAAACCATATTTTCTCTAGGGCCAATATAGAATGTTAGCTTCTCTTCATATTTACTTAAAATAATATGATGCCTCCCTCTCTTGAACTTCCACAGAACTTTGCACTCATCTACGGTATTTATCACACTCTGGCTTGTCCCCTAGTCCTTGGCATGCTTCCTTTATTCCTCTTTTTAGATTGTAACTTCTCCAAAGGCACTTACTACATCCTTGACAGCTTCAAATGGGATCAAATGAATGGCAATAATGGCACCAGGTATTAAGCTTATTTATACTTCAAAGCAGCAGCCTGTTGTCAAATGCTAACCCTCTCCCTGGCAGTCCTCATAAAAAGAATGGGAAAGCATATAAATGCAGTAGCACACAAGAGGAACATACAGTGTGAGCAATTATGCCAATTCCTTTTATAGAAAGAACACAGCTGAGATAAACATGGAAGCAGATCATTTACCAGCCACACGTCTCCTTGCCAAATTCTCCCTTCTTAATTTTTCATTAAAGAAAATCAAGGAAGGTAAACAAAAGTAGCCCTTGGGAAGGATCAGTGTAGTGGAAGCAGCTCATTTATCAGCCTGGTCTTAGAGAAATGTCTCATTATTTTTTAAAAAAAATGCATCTTTTGAGGCTGAACACTTGTGTCCACACACTGGGATGCGCGCGCGCACACACACACACACGCACACACACACACACACACACTTACTCTAGGTGTGCACAGCCAACCTTTGGGGTGAAGGTGAAAAGGGCAGGTCAGGCAGGAGCCGCTTACCTTCAGGGCATCTTGGGTGTCATCCAGACAGTAGACTCGGACGCTGTACTCTAGAGAGGAGCAGCAGAGTGGCCCGAAGATGGCCAGCTTGAGGCGCTTGGCGGCCCCTTTGGTGATGGACTGCCCGACCAGGGTGTAGGTGCTGAGGTTCTCTGTGAGGAGGTGGCAGGCTTCTGCATCCAGCTGAATGTAGCAGGGGGTGGTGAAGTTCTCCTCTCCCACCACCACCACATCCTGTAGGACAAGAGGGAAGGGGGTCTGGCTGAGCACAGAGGACACTGATGCCAATCAATGGTGGTAGAGGCCGCAGGACCTCTTCTCCTGAATTTGCTTATGAATTTCCCTACTCTTTTTCTTTCTTTCCCAGGCTTTATTATCCCTCTATTTCCATCTGTCTTTGTTATCTCCCTTACTTCCGTTGCCTTTACTGCTTATATTCTTTATTTAGATGCCATTCATTTAGCATGTTTTGATCTGAGAATCTATATAAAATTCCAAAGCAAATTCATGAACTATCTTTTTTTTCAGTGTAGCTGTATTTATTATGTGTTTATGAGAATTTAATGTTTTAATCTCCAAAATATTTTTGAGACCAATGTAATTATAGCAGTCATTTTTTTTCTTTTTCCTAAAAATCTAGGGTTTGAAAATAATTAGAAAACTTAAGGAATCATGCAATATCATTCTACCGTGTTCTTCCAAACTCACCTGCCAATTACTTTCTAAAGAAAAACAACTATTTTTCCTCAATAATTTGTCCAGCTGGACTCTACAGAAAGCACAGTATGGCCAACTCTATGCCTTTAGGACAATTTTCTGTGTTAAGAAAATTCCACATGCTTCCCAAAGCATCAAGGTAATGGGGAGACAATAAGGAGTGGTGGAGACTGTGGTAAAGCACAGCAAAGGCCTGTCTAAAGAGTTGAGTCTCCACTTGACTTCAGCCCTTTGCAGCTTTACATAAACTTAGGGCTACTGAGCATACAGCCTTTAATTTTTCAAGAGAAACTGGAAGTTTAGATATTTATGTGAAATCGCCCTTTTCATTAATTCAAACTAAAAGAAAATTTCATGTGGGAAAAATAAAATACATGTGCAGGTATAGCTCACCCTCTGCATTAGGCTATTCATCTCCACAGAGGCAGGAATTATATCTACTTTGCTTCCCACTGTGTCTCAGTGGGCCTGGCTGATGGCGAGCAAATGGTTATTTGTCCAAAAAATGAAGGCATGTTTCAACATAAATTGAGTCCCTGGGGCTGGACAAAGATATGAAAGAAGTGGCCCCCTGAGGTGGCTGTTTCTTAGTTAGGCCTTGCAACGTCATCTGAGCTCCAGGTCTTTTCATAGCATCCATGAAATCATTTCTTCAACTGAACCTGTACCCACAGATGAAGTTCAACCTGAATGGGAAAAGCTCAGTGTCTCCAGGTTTATTCCCGCCTGAAGGGACACCTGGAAAGCAACTGCTTTCTCTAGCAGGGTGAACACTGGCCTCGGGCATCATCTAATAACGGCATGTTACAGAAAGCCTTCTGGAGGATATGGTCAAGAATATAGATGTCCCTGTCCCTGTCCCTGTCCCAAATATAAGTGTTTGCATAAGGACTGTCCTCTTCTCTTCACATCTCTTTCTTTTATTAGTATTGATGTTATTATTATTATTACTCAAATTATTATTATTCACTTTACCCAGATATAGTGTAATTGTGTAGAGAATTGTGCAATTTCGGGTCACTAATTGTGCAATTTGAACTACTTTGGAATGTTTTTGAGATAAATTATTTAAAACTTAATTAAATTAAAGTTAGATTTGGTTAAGTCTGGTCTTAACATAGAGGCTATTCCTAGACTTCAATCTTGGACTGGAGGTCCTCTAACAAGGAGTGATCCCCTCAAGTGGCTGAAAGAACATGTCCATAGAAGGAAATTCCAGTTAATTCAGGGATGCCCTGCTGCTCTTCGAAGCCCAATATGACTTTTTCCTAAAATATTAGGTATAGTTTGTTCAAATGTTTCTTTCCTAAAAGAAAAATATGGTATGTAATCACAAATACGTAACATATAGATTGGATACTTGTCTTTGTAATGATTACACAAAAATACAAGGGTAGCTTTTTAAAAGTATTCAATTTACAAAATTGTTCTGTTTTTGATAAAAAACGTTCCTGAAATATGTTTTCCTGAGAATAATCTAAAATGTAATTTTTAGTTGGCTATTTTCCATATAAAAACAGACACTGTTTATTCAAGGGATAATAATGAAAATATACAAACGTTTAAAAAGGTATTAGGTCTAAAACTTTCATGGGAAACATAACAAATCCTCCGGCACTTAACTGCGGGTGCTAACGGAAGGGTTTTGAAGTCAGGAACAGGATTTTCTTGAGGCACTGTCCTCCAGCACTGAGGGTGGCAACAGCCACAGAGAGGCAAGATGCCACAGGTATGCCTTGTTCTAGTGGAGCTCAGAAGACTGTTTCTGTAAGAACCTAACACTATCTGAGCCAGGTGCAATGTTTCTTGACCTGTAAATTTAAAATTTATATATATTCACCAAAACATGTATTCGCACTTTAATAGCTGATAGCTCAATTGATGTTTTTTTTTTCTTTTTAGCCAGACTAAGCTTTGAACAGAGAAAATTCATCCTAATATGCTACTGGAAGTTTGAAAATGTAGTTGAAGTTCAAATACTACCTTTATAATTATTCAAGTGTGTATACATTTCCGGGGACACAAAGTACCCCCCAAAATGTCTACACATTTTAACAGCTGATAACTCACTTAATTTTCACTCCTTTTCAGGGGTAACTGATTTAAATAATGGGTGAAGCCAGACTAAGCTTTGAACAAAGAAAATTTAAGCACTAGATATTTTTATGGGGACACAGAAAAGATAAAGTTCACGGTATAAAACCGGCAACAGCTGATGAATCGAGGACACACAAATACGGAACAAAATGATGCTTGATGTTTGTGATTCCATTGCTTCGCATTATCAACAGTGCCTGGACCAGAACGGTCATCGGTTTGAAAACAGGCATTGATTAAAAATAATGTATTCATTTCTGTAGATTCTTTCCCATTTTGAAAATGAACTGTATGTTCATAAACACTGACTTTATAATCAAAGTGTATACAAAGAAATTTCCCTTCCTGAATAGTATAGTATGTATATTCCAAAATGTGTAAGATTCCTAAGGGCACTTTCCCTATGAGCTAGCTCATGCTTGACCATAATTTTCTGTGTCTACCAGTCAACAGATAAAGCATTCAATAAACAGTCAGTCTGTCTTTTCCCCTTCCTGCCTCTCTCCCCCCGTCCCCTCTCTTTATCCCCTTCCTCCACTTTCTCCTTCATTTTGAGTGTAAGATAAAATTCCATCCATGTTTTCTTTGAAAAATAAAAGCCTTCCCATGCTTGGTCCTGCTTATCTGCATGGATTGCTCCTGAATTCCATCTTTATCCCAACAGCAGCTCACCTCCCACTGCCCCTGTGCTGCCTGGTTCTTGAGCTGTATCTTCCAGTCCTCGGTGTTGGGATCTGCGCAGTGGTGCATAGTGAGGATGACTGGGCGGGTCAGCAGGGCTCCCGGAGGCCCACAGCTCACCACAGGGGTCAGGAGTGTCTGAGTGTCTTCCATGGGTGGCCTAGGAGAGCAGAGAACAGCATCAGTGACATTTCCATAGCATTTATGTGTATGTACTCTGAGATTTCAGATCTAAAATTGAACATTTTTTGTTGGAATTTTTTTTTTTGAGGGGGGGAAATGGGAGTTAAGGCAGAACCAAATTGGAAGACATGCTCTTTATACTGAGACTTTGATCTTGCCAGACTGGAGGTCTTTATGATAACAGTGGGTCTGCCAGCATCCCTTTGATCCCTTCCCTCAGATACAGGTCTGCCTTTGGTGACTTCCTTTGAAATTCATGTACAGATAATTTCAGGATGGAATGAGAAGAAACAGTACTTATGAGGTTACGTAACCATGCTTTCTGGTAACACTTGCCATTGGTCTCACAAGGTTTTAAGTACTTTGGTGTTTTGGGGACCTAACTTGAAAAAATACTTCAAAAATATCACTTAAAAACAAGGACACCCTAGAGCTAAACTTCCTCCAAATGATTTTCGGGAATAATTCAAGTTAGTACAGTAAATTCATTCTTTCAAAAGTGACCAGACAGACTCTAGAATTGTATTTCTACAGTAATTTAAAATGAAATCTCTCTCCTTGTATACTTCATATTATGAGAGCCTAAATGGAAAAAAAAAACAACCCTTAAAGATCCAAAATCTTTATTTCATATCTCCCTTTTTAATTGCCTTAAATATTTTCTCCGACAAGATTGTAATCAACAAACAAATGGATAAATTAACCCAAGTTATCAGTTGGCATGTGAAGATGTAGTCCCAAGATGTTGCGTGGATTGCCCAAAGTCTCACAGCTAACAGCTCTATCGCTGGGACTAGGACCAAGCAATGTCTTCTCAACAACAGTTCTCAGTATTACTCTGTCAGGCAATGTGGCTTAAGGAATCATTGACTCATATAATTTTAGAGGAGGAAGGGCCCTTGGGATCAATAAGTACCATCTTCTGTTCAAAGCAGGAGCCTCTCTATAATATGCTGACATGTGGTTTTTAGTTTTTCAAATTTTTTTCATCCATTGATTTTAGAGAAAGAGAGGAATGGAGGGAGGGAGGGGGAGAGAGAGAGAGAGAGAGAGAAACATCCACCTGCTACTCTACCCATCCATGCACCTATTGGTTGCTTCCTGTATACACCCCAACTAGAGATGGAACCCACAACCCTGGTGCATCAGGATGTCACTACGATCAACTGAACTACCTGACCAGTGCTGGTTAGTGCTTTGACACATAAAAAATTGTAGTCCACGACTGCTGAGGCTCATTTAATCTATTACCAACTTACATATACAATGCATTCTTATTTAGAATGAACACAATCTCTCTTCCTGACACCTCTCAAGAAATCCTTGACCTGCTTTCTTTCTACTGTGGCATGAAAGCCTTTCAAATATTTAGAGATTGTTACCATGTCTCTAAAAAAGTCTTCTGTATTTCAGAGCAAACATTCTCTCAATTCCTTAATGTTTTAAACTTCAGCTAGAAAATCATGGTTTCCTGCTCTCTCCCTATATTTCTATCTTCACTTTCATATAGATGTCTATCCGTGTTTCACTATCTTCACTAAAGTGGGTCATCTTGGAATGAATGTAATGCTCAAGTAGGCAGTACAAGGGGACTACTATTTTCTGGGTTTTGGAATATGTAGTTTTATCAATACCTCACAAAATCATTGCCTTGGGTTATTCTTAATCAAGTAATTATTTATAAATATTTTTAGCATGCTTGAGTTAGATGGGAAGATGGATATAATATGGTTAAACATCTTCTGTATAAAATGAGGCAATAAAGCCCCAAGAAGGTTGGGTAAGTTGTTAAACTAACCAATCTATGTATTTCTAACATGAGAGGCTCTTAGGCTAAGTCTCAATAGTTATGTGTTTGCAATGATGATGGCTTTTGAACCTATGTACAGAAATTTATAGTTAGCTATTTAATTTCTCCTTAGTAGTTTCAAGCAAGATTTCACGACATCTATTTCTTAATGCTATGTCTTTCCTCCAAATATTGGCTGTCTCATCCAGTCTTTTACCCTCCATAAATCTGATATGCCTGCCACTTCTGTTCTCATTCCAATCACTGATAACATTGTAATACAAGAATAGGGCAAGAGACAGAGACCTTTCCAAGGGCACCACTTGCAATGTCTCTCCGGCCTGACATCAATACTCCGAGTTCGTTAGTTCAGCCAAATATAAACCCATTAAAATGTACATTGTCTCGTTCACCTCTTTCCATTTCGTTCATGTGGATATTGCAGGGACATATCAAATTCCTTTATAATGGCCATGGGCACGTCACATGGATTTTTCTCATCTTTACTTGTGGTTCATATATTAAATACTACATAACCTAGAAGTTAACTTATCTCTATGGCCTCATTTAACACTCAATGAGCGATAGCAGTTGTTATATTTTTTTTTAACACCGATGGAAGAAAATTCTCCACGGAGCGCTCATGTTTTTTGCACGTTCCTATCTTCGCAAAGCAGTTGCATAGCACACACCTTGGAAGATAAGACAGTGCTCAGCTCTGGAGTAAATGGTAGACATGCCTACTTCTCATGATAAGTCTCAGGTTCCCTGGGCCCAGGAGTCCTTTCCCTGAGAGGCAACCAGCGGGTGTGTAGGTGTTGTTTATCCCTCGTTGCATCACTCCTGCAGAACCTGGGCTCGGGAAACTGGCCCAGCAATGAGAATACTCTGAAGAGCGCTGTCCTTGTGAGGAATGAACTGCACTTTGTCCCTGATTAGGATTCTTGTGCCATGTGTCAGCGTCTACAAAACTGGCAGACTACGTGGTAGCTCACAAATAAGGTTAAATCTGAGAGATTCCTTAGTTCTTGACAATTATTTTTATAAGTTCTGAGAACTCAACTAAAACTTGGCATATTTTTCCCTTAATAAAACTCGGCTGTTACTGCTTCCTATCTCATTCTAAAATTTTACTAGCATCTCGCCAACCTATGGCTTTCCACCCTTCCATTTAGGAAACCAACACAGTTTTTGACTCCTTTTCGTCTTTTAAATCATCTCCATTCTCACTGAATAACAACACAGTTTTATTAAATCTAAAGTTATCAAAGTACTTGAAAATGTACTTATATTTGGACTTTAAGGTTATTGGCAGCTTAAGAATTCCTTACTATCCCCTTTGCCCCTTCATTTTCATTTCCTCTTAACCTAGTTTTCCCTCCTTCCTTCCAATCTGAAATGCATTCTCTTAGATCATGAGTGAAGCTTTGCTTTTATTGTGTCATAGTTAATATTACAGCCTCTGCCCTGAGCTTTTTGAAATTCGACTTTTCCTACAAGAGACAGTGGAGATGGGGAAGCAATGATTGCATTTTCCTAAGCACTACTCTTACCTTTTAGTTGCAATGATACCTTGAGCATTAAACTTTTCTAAAAATATATTCTATGTAATTTAATTTTTAAAATGAATTTATTGGGGTGATATTGGTTAATAAAATTATATAGGTTTCAGGTGTACAGTTCTATAATACATCGTCTGTATATTGTGTTGTGTGTTCACCACCCAAGTCAAGTTTCCTTTTGTCACCATTTATCCCCGCCCCGC